GGAGGTGAATGCTTCCTTCGGAGAGGGAAAATGTTTGGATTTGGATTAATATTGATTTTCGATTTGAATTTGGATGACGACTTTGGAGACGGTTGGTCTTCATTGCAGGTTTTCACGGAGGACAAAGAGGGATACGTACAGAACCAGGTTAAAAAATACACGGGAGCAATGAACGATTCGCTCTTCAAACCTCCGAAATCGCTCCCGCGAGGCTCAAAATAGTTCCCGTAATTTTTTTTACGAGAGCTGTTTTTTCCGCAGACTTGAAAAAGAGCTCCCGTGAAAAAAAAGTAGTATTTTTTCCCTGTACAGGACACAGGGGTGCAAGTAAGAGCGCGGCACGGGGGAGGGGAGGCTGACAGAGGGGTCTAGCGCAGCCACGGCAGCACAGCATGCTGGCGGATGCGGGCAAATTTTCACGTATGGCAAGTAAGCAGGGGCTCTGACTGTTGGCTTCACATTTCACAATGAAATTTGACAGTTGGGGATGTTGGTTTATTATTTGGTTGTTTTATTTATTTTTTTATTTGGGGATGTTGTTCGCAACGCCTGGCCAGTCGGAGTAAACGCAAGCAGGAGCAACGCACACGCGTGTGCTGAGACAATGTACGGTTAGAAATTCCTACAACAACACCGCAGGGGTTAAAACATTTTCGATTGGGCTACCGAATCATGAATTCCGCTAGACAGGCTAGCTCTGAATCTAGATAATACAGCCAAAACTGCATATATATATATATATATAACTGACAGATCAAATAGTAGATTCAAAGGATGGTTAGAATTCTTGTCATATATGAATATGTATATATATATAGCCAGTACAATAATGGCGGCGGTGGTATAAAACTCCTGCTACGTCATCATCAGTATAGATTGGCAGAGGTGAAAAATTACAAATTTGGAATTATTCACCCCTGATAATGATATTAGAACATGAAGCAAGAGATAGGCGAGCGACAGAGAGAGATACATACATACAGGGGTAGAAATTAACATTTGAACAAGCGACTCCCTGCCCTCGAAAAGAGGGAGTCTGCGGCAAAATGAGCAGCAGTCTGAAATTCAAAACTAAAGATATTAACAATAACGCATGTGCTTATTTTGAAGATTCATGCGGTTGCACATCTCAGTCATCTGCCAAATTTTCTTTGGACATTTGCTGGAAAAATACGGTAATTTTGCATGGGAATAATAAGGAGGCCATACTCTGGAACGAACTAGTTACTAAGTATATAGCAGAATTTTCAGACGGACTCTTGCATATATGTCAAATCAGGGAGTCCGACATTAATCAGGGAGTATTTGACTCCGGACTCCGCCTTAATTTCGCACCCTGTACATACATATGTCGTGAAAACCACGTCCAACTGTACAACCGCGTACAACTGTACAACTGTACAACCGCGTACAACAGCCAGCGACCGCCATCTTACCTTTCGCGCGTCGTGTGTCCGACGGCCCTGCCTGCTGACCCAGCCAATAATCCGCTCCATCCGCCGCCATCGCAGGCTGACCGTGAGCGAGCATCATCGTGTCACCGGCGCCCCCTACCAGGCCGCCGCCGCCGCCGCCGTCGTCCGCCGGGCCGTCGTAGCGCAGTGGCTCCCCCTGCATCGGCACGAGCGAGCTCGCCCGCGCCGCGGCTGCGCTACAGCAGGATGAACAGGTGGCGCCCCCCGTCCGCCGCGCCGCCGCCGCCGGCCGCCGCCGCCGCCGGGGAGCGCCATCCCAGCCAGGTGGAGACGCAGCCGCGTGGCGGCCACCACCCAGCCAGAGGTTGTGCGTTGCACTTGTGTCTCTGGAACCGCCGAACCGAGAAGAAGCGCTTGCGGCGCAGCTGCGCTACGCCCCGCGGTCAAGGGGGCGCGCTGCTGCAAATAGGCTGGCAAGGGGCGCCACCGCGGTCGTGCGGCGGCGGCGCGGGGGCGGCGTCGCGCGTAGGGTGGCGCCACGAGAGAGAAGTACGCGAGCCGCAGTCGCCGCGCGCAGGGGCCAGCCGACGAGTACCCGTCCGGCGCGAGTAACACATATAGCAGTCCATTGTTCCGGAAAAACTAATCCCGACGACACCCACACCAATACAATCACTCGACCCTCACTCAAACGGAGTCGACCAATTGCCACCTGTCGTCGGAACGCCGCGCGTCGGCGCGCCAAGCCGACCGGTGCTCCATACAGCACGTAAATCTGGCAACGCCAGAACCGAACTCGCCTGCCCGTACTCACTCCGCGCGTACGCGGCGCCCTCTAGGACTCCAAACTGTCTGCTAGACATAAATCCGGTGATAGAAGTCCTGCTGCAGCCGGTAGACGGACGCTAGGGGTCGACGGACGCGTAGTCCAGCCGCACGCACGCGCGCGCCGCGCCACGACGCCTGCCCTCCATCTTCGCAGGACCTCGGAGGTGCGCGCGCCATGAAGCACCAGACCAACGCCCACTCGGCGTGGGTCGCGACCGTGACCTCGGGGTCGCGACCCGGGGACTCCACGCGCAGCGCAGCCGTCGGGCGTCATTCCAGGGTCGTGTCCTCGGACGAACGAGGAACCTTGGCAGTGGGTCTTCTCGCGGGTGGCGATGAAGCTTCCTTCGGAGAAGAAGCACTCGCCTGCACGCGGTGCAGCGGTAGTAGGTGAGCATCACGCTCTCATGCAGTCAATCCTGCATGCTGCTGGGTGTAATTACTATTACTACTTAATTATCACTAATTAGGAGCTGTTGGGGGGGAGGGCGTGAGAACGAATGTTGTGGCTGACAAGCTGCGTGGCATAGCTCCTGCGTCGCTGGCTGGGTGAAGTGGCATCAAATGACCGTCGTCCGAGTGTGTGGTGGCTGCATACGTGGCTGGTGGTGATGCCTGATGATGCTGGTGGTGATGCTGATGATGCTGGTTGTGCTGCAGCTGTTGCTGGTAGTGCTGCTGCTAAATCCACCCACCAGTTCGCTGCAGTCGACGTGCACCTCGCTGTTCCGGCTGTGGCTGCTCCGCCTGCTAGCTCTGCAGCTGGTCATCGACTGCTGCCGGCTCGCCTGACTGCAATTAACTCAACATTCTACACATCCGCGCCATGACCACCTGTGAATTCGGCCGACGTCTCGTGCGCACACGAATCCCCGGACGTATAACAACGCAACTCCAAATCAAGACGTCGCGGCGCACGATCCACAACACACGCTCGGACGAACACAAATCGTCCTACTACGGCATCCGCCGCTCACCTCGCGCCTCACCATGCGCTTCCGGTTGTAGTACTCGACTATTCTAGGGTCGCAATTCGAATGAAAGTCTTAACATCCGGGACCACAAAACACGAGTCGAATCAACAATATTGTGATTAGCGAACGCGTTACGTGAAATAACTCGCCACGGTGACGTACTATCAGAAGTAGATAATTCAAGCAGGATTAATCCCACCTATGCAGGCTTCTCGACAGACGCACTTACCAGCACTAGGCGGCCCGCCCAGGCTACCCGAAATCCCCGAGCCCCGCACATAGGCATCACTAAAAATGCCTCCCGCCATCTCTACATAGCATAGCCGCCGGGATGCGTGGTGACATGTTATATCACAACAAGTTCAAACGCACTTATAATACACCGTTGGTTATATCGAATAAACTTTGTACAAGAGTGATATGCAAGAAGCAACTACTAGAAAATTTACCCTTGTGTTTCCAAATTCGCCAGAGGAATAAACGGAGCTGTGAATACTGTTGAACGTCTTGTTTCTCTATTAACCACAAAGTATAAACGACTACAGGATTACCTGCCCCTACTCGGCAATGCTAACGAGCGTTGCGATGTAGGGGCAGGTAACAGGTCTAACAGCGAGGTTTTTATTCCATTATTATTTTGCAATTTTCTGATTGGCTTGCCATGCGCAAACAAACTTTTCCACCCCAGCATGCAGTGCTTCAAATTTACAAACATGATCGCATCTCAGAGCTTCTACAAAAATAAAAAATTTTTCCTATAGGGAATCCCTATATCTCACTATCATGGTACTAAGGCAGCCCACCCGAATTAGCCATCTCACAGTTCAATACCTAGGGGCTTGATCGGTAAATGGCAGTTAAAATATTGTTTAGCACAGATCTACGAGCACTTGCGGTTGTGCAATAATAATAATGATTTAATAAACACAATTTATTGGTAAGGCCAAACAAAAAAACTTAAGTTCGGGTCACATGGATTGGAAACTAGGGTCGGAGGTAGGCATATTTTTTATTTTTTTATTTTTCCTGCAAAAACATGGGACGCAGGAATCATAAAAAAGAATTTCCAACAGTAAATAATAGCAGCATATACAGGCTTGCCCCAAAATGCGGAGCCACGAGATCAAATGACTTGGCAGTTTGCATGTACCATTGCTCGCAAGTCATGACATTGTTTCAAAATGTGACACAAGTCGTTATGGATGTAGTGCACTGTATCCGTCGTCGTGACTGGATAGTAACAGCATGTTACGGCATCGCCTCCAAACCACGGATGCTTGACTTACATCAATCCACACACCTTACAACTAAATGACAAAAACAGAGAATAACACAGAAGAAGATCAAACAAAAAGAGACAGAGCAGAAAACAAAGAAAAAGAATACACAGAATAACGACACCAAGATCACCTCATAAACAGTCCGCGATTGCTCGCGTCCCTCCCCGCCGGTAACAGACCAGCAGACACACAATCACACGCCCTTACACGCTCTGTTTCTGCCGTCGCGGCCCGCCCGGCCCCGGCTGCTCCACGCCTGTTTACCCAGATTGTCGCACTCAAGGCCACCAGAATCGGTAGAGACCAGTAAATATCCCATAACGACGAACAACACACCCCCCTTTGCCGACTCCTGTTTCCCCTCCTTTGGACCTCTCCGTCGGTCACAATCACACACACACACCCAGCCTACGGACTATCTTACCACTACCTGTCTGCTACGGCCAGCTGTCTCTTGCCTTATTCCTATTATATTCTTGCCCCCCTCTCCCCGATGCCCGCGTCCGCGCCCTTCTCCCTCCGCCCTGTCACTCGCGGGCGGTGCCGCCGCCCCCCAGAAGATAATCCCACTCCTTAAAATTTACGGTCAGGCCTCCTGGTCGCTTCATCCTACCTTCCCGTCCGTGCTCCCTTGCTGCGACCCCCACTACAGACCTATCTCTCTCTAGCCCTCCTGCCCTGCCAGCCGCTGGGCCCCCTGATCTGCGTTGGGCCCTTGATCTTCCTCCCCCCACTTCCCGCCGGCACCTGCGCCTACCCCTCGCTCTTTCTCCCGTCTCCCTCCGCACTCCTTCGTGGCCTGCCTTCCCCCCTACCTTTCTGCCACCTCCCCTCTCGTCCTCCCTTTCCCCTGCGCCTTTGTCTTCCCCCGCCCCCCGCCCGGTGGCGCCCTCTGGTCATTTGCCGGCGGCCCCCCTGTCTTGTCTTGCCCCCCTTTCAACAACCACCATCGGTTCCGTGCCGTCCCCAACGAATGTTGCTCACGGCTGTTACCGCCCGCCTCTCGTCGATTCACTTTTCCCGCCTCGTTTGCTCGTCCACTTCCCGTGCCCCATGCCCGTGTCTGCCGCGTGCGCCGCTTGCCCGCGCCGCCCCCCGCACCACACACTCCGCAATCGCCCCTGTATCGCCGCTGCCCCTCCTCTCGGGCCCGCGTCCCGCTCCCCCTGCCTCGCCCGTGTTGGCGCGTCCACACCTCCTTGCTCCCGCTTACCCCACTCTTGCCTACCTCCGTTTTTTGTCTCCTCCCCCTTGGCTTGTGCCCCCCGTCTACATCAGTGCTTAAATCTCCGCCCCCTCTACCTTGTGTCCCTCGCTCCTGGGGCTGTTTCCCCTGCTCTGCTTGCGGCCGTCGCGCTTCCGCTTCGCCCCTCCCTCCGGTCTCTCTCCTCCTCTCGCCCGCTGCGCCTCGCTCGCCCCTGTTTTGGCCAGAGTGTAGGCTCGGACACAACAGGGCCGAAACCAACAAGCGGCTCACTGCCTCGGCCTTGCTGTCCCTCCCTCCTCCCCCCCGGTGTCCCTCGTCCGTCCTCGTCACCCCACCGTCACCCCACTCGTCCTGTGACAGTTTCCTATGCCCGGGGCCACCGCCCCACCACAGCCGAAACCCCCGTCCCTTCCCTGCCCCTCACCCCCGCCCCGGCTTCCGCCCCCCACGCCCCGTTCGTTTTCCTGCCCCTGGCGTTGGGCGGCCGTGTTACCCCCCGCCCCCCCCCGGGCTGCCGTGTGCTTGTGTGTGGCGTCCCCTCGGCCCCGACTCCCCCGTCTCGGCCGCTTCCGGCCGCCGCCCTTTCGTTGCCGCTGTCCCGTTCTCGCGCCCCCTCTCCTCCTCTGTCCCTGCGCTGTCTGCGGTCCCCCGCCTGCCCTTCTGACTCCTCTCCGCCTGCTCCCGCCTCTCGGCCCCCCCCCCTGCCTCCGTCGCGGTCCGCTCTTTCCCCCGCCGCCTTTGCGCGCTCCGCCTTTTGTTCCGGCCTGCCCCGCCCTTGGCCCCGCCTCGGGCGCCGCCTCGGGCCCTTTCCCGTTGGTTGTAGACGCTATGCTCCCACCACCCCCCGTGGCCGCGCGCGCCCGCGGCTCCCGCTGCCGGCCGGTGTTCTGCGCTCCCATCCCTGCCCCCGCCT